GTGTTTGGCGCTGATTGTACGAGGGGTTGGCACGATGGTGTGATGGTTGAAGGGTGTGTCGAGCTTGTGGGGAAGAGTTCCAAGTGATTTCGGTGATCACGTTACCTGTGATCGTTTGAAGAAGTCTCTCAGGGGTTAGAAAGAGAGTTAGGTTTGAAGAGTTAGGATAGAATTTGAGATTGAGACGATTTTAGATTAGTAGATCTTTTATACAACATATTTTAGTCTACTTTGATTTCAAAAAAATTTCGATTATATGTCTCACGTGTATTCTTACATCTTTCTTAGGATTTTTCTAAATACCTGATACTCGATTTTCCAATATTCATAATTCATAATTCGAACGATACATCACAAAAGATCGTTTCGTTGGTTGGAAACGTTGATTCGTGGAGTTATGCACACACTCATGGAAACGCGCACAACAACGTTATACCGTGATAGTACTTGAGTCGTAGCCTCAGTCCAGCTCACGCAATACCAGTGCAATCGAGACGAAGCGGATGGAGGCAGGCCGAGCGTGTTAATTCCGCTCGTATAAATTCCAGGATTAAGAGCATACGTTATACTTAGGGAAATGCGAGTTTCGTGCTTTTCGCGTTTAACATTCTCTTTCTCTCTTACTTTCTCTATTCTCTTCCTTCTTTTTCTTCAATCAGGCTTCCCGTCCTTCTTCCCTCGTCTTACGTTTCCTTCCCTTCCACGTTTCATTCTTTCGCGTACAAATTGTAACGAAGTGGAGGTTCATGGAAGATTTCAACGATATTCACCCTGAATAATTGAAAGTGTTGGTTTTTGTTTCCTTCGAGTATCTCGAGTACTGCTTTCTGTCGTGGAATTGGAATTTCGATTTTAGGAGCTGATTTGTAATAGAACTTTTGATTTGTAATAGAAATTAAAACATGATGATATATAGAAACTTGTAAAAAAAGAAGATAATAGAGGTTCTATAAAGAGAAAAGAAAACTTAGGTCGACTGATTTAGTTCTAGGAACTAAGACTTTAAGCTACTTTATGGTGTTTACGAAACGCTTATCCGAAAGAATCATCAATTATCAAAATTTTTAACTTTCAAAACCTTCAAAATTATTTATCGCCTCTCAAAATATCCTTTTTATTCCAAAAAAAGAAATTCTTTCTCTTTCGAAACTTTAATCCCAATCACATCTCACGTATTTTATCAAAAAACCTCCAAATCAGAATATCCTTTACTGTTCTTCCATCCCCTTGTATTCTTCAATCTTCGAGCAATCCTCCCCGTTTCTTTCCAATCCCGAGGCCAGCATCCGCCAAGATGTTAACAGCTACTCGTAGTCGTTGGAAACGGGGAACAAAGATCGATGGAGCGATTCGTTAAGGGCATTGGAACAATCCTTGGCTCGAAAACTCGCCATAATGGCGCACGAGGCGGCACGCGACTTTCGTCCTTAACTTTTCAATAAACCGCTGGTCGCCCCAAAACAATTTCCATGTAAACGCGCCGGATGGACTCGACGACGACGAAGAGAGCCACTCGATTCTCCCGCGAGACGGGAATTAATGGATGACACGGGTAGGGAGGGATCTTTCTTCGCGCGCAGGGAACTCGTTTAAGTGTCGATCGTAAATTCGGTGGTGAACGATTCGACATGGCGGCTTACTACAAATTCCCCTGGACCGACGTGGACGTCGTCGTGCCCGCGACGAATCGACTTTGCGACACACGCGTTAACACACGGTCGAGCCTCCCGTTTCGATCGAGGTGGATCGACTCCAGTGGATGTGGATGGAAGGAAGGTAGAATCGAATGGGAGGAGGAAATTTCGTTGATTTTGCAACGTAGAGGTAGATAGGGACTCTTATTAGATGGTCTCTTCTGATTAGATGGTCGCCAGATTGGACGAAGGTTTTCGAGGATTTTTTTTCCTTTTGGTTGATTTTGGTTGGTTTCGGGGATGAAATAAACGCGGGGGAAAAGAAAGAGTTTATGGGGGATTGATTAAGATGCGTATAGGAGTCGAGGAGATTGATCGGTAAAGCGGGCTCTGTTGGAATCTGTGGTTAATTAATAACGGCATAAGTGGGATAAGAGGGGTGGAGAAAAGAAAGAAAGTTTGAGAATTTACTAATGAGATTAATAACGAGAGATTAATTGTAGATGGAGCGATTGAGATTTGTTGAGTGGAGGGAAAATGTTGTATGGGAAATGATTAATGGTTCTGTGGATAAGCAATACCAGATCAAGTATCCAGGTTAATTACAAGTTTGAAGTTAAATTCCCTTTTATCGAGAAAAAGGAATAACGATGTATTTTAAATTTCCCCCGTACTAGAAATCAATTTTTCTCCTAATGAATATTCAATCGTATGTTGATTATTCACACGTATCGTTACTTTCGTTGAATCATTCGTTACTTTTCCCCATTGCTATTGTACAATACGAAAGAAAAAAAAAAGGAAAAAGGAAAAGAAAGAAATTTAAACGAACGGAAAAATTCGAAAAGAAGCCGAGGAATCAAGTTTTCACAAGCCCCCTGGCAATTAATCGTGAAACGAACACGAAATGCCATGAACTCGCCTCTCATCCCGTGAAAAGGGAGAGAGAGAGAGAGAGGGGAGGGCAAAACCTAGAATTCAGTAGAATCGTCCGGAAAGCGTGGGACACGGTTCGAGTCGAGTGGAAACGTCGGCGGGAATCAGCCACGATAAATCAGCTGGCCGGCAATAAACGTCGCCTGGCTCAATAGTTAATGGGGAATCGTTGATTATGTCTCCGTTTCGGCGATAATCCACCGCAGATATATATCGCTATGCGCGCGAAATTTTTCCGCGGAACGATTTTTCCAATATTTTCGATTCGACCGGTCGAAAAAGCGTTGAATCATCGACGACGCGGCACGATTGCGACCGACAACCGATAAATAGCCGATCGGCCGGAACGAATCCTCGATCAGCCATTGCTTACGCAATTAATGCAAGGATTTAATTACGCACGGTTCCTTTTCTCCTTTTGTTTACTCGGACTTGTTCTCGAGGTTTATCTTCGATCTCGTTCCTCGAGGAGAGAGAGAGAGAGAGATTCTACTGCATCTTCTTTTTCTCCATTTTGTTCTCTTCCTCGTCTTTTCTTCGCTGTAATTTAAACGAGTATTCTGAAGCTCGAATCTTCAAGGTTTTTAAGGATAGACGATCGATCGTTTTATTTCTTTCCCAATTTTTTATTCTATCCCCTTTCTGTCCTCACAGTTTTTATTTTAGACCGAGTTATTTTCTTCATCTCTATGCTTTCATTTTAGATTGTTTGGACGTATCAAGATTCGTTTTCACAACACAATCCGTTTTTTTCTCTTTATTTTTACATTCAATATTTTCTCCGAACATTTTATCCGAATTCCTGCATCTTTCACATCCTATCTACGTTTAATTTACCACTTTCCACGAGAATTATACAAACTTTTTTTTCCCTCCTCCACTTCTTTCTCCAACGTTGTATTCTCCATTCCATGTAATTTCTCGTTCCTTTCAAGTGTCTCTCTCGACATTCTTCCATTCTCCCCCTCCTCTCTCTCTCTTTCTCTTTCTCTCTCTCCTCTCTTTAAGTCTCTCATCTCGAGTTAGCGATTCGATCAACACGCCCCTCGCTTGTACTCAATTATCGATACGCCCGGCGCAATTATCCGCGATATCGATAATAATACGTGCCACCGCGTATCGGTTCCTTGGAAATTATACGCCTCTCACGAAAAATAAACGGTGACGGCCGCGTCAGCAACATGAGAAATCGTTTATGCGAATGCGATACCCCTTTCCTCGATTACCCCCCTCCCCCTTTATTAAGATCTCACGAGATTCGCGATTTAAAACGATTAAGAAGATCGATTCGAAGCGGCGTTACACTCTTATTAATCGTTCCATCAATTTTTTTTCTCGGCTCGGCTTTCTTCGGGGAATCACGAGGACGCTCGTCTCGCAATTTCTCGTAAATTGCTCGCGAGATTAGCTGTGTAGTTTTTCTCCTTTTTTTTCTTTATTGTAGAACCTTCGAAGATTCGGATGATTATCTAATTATCCGTTAACTATAAGTACTCGTTTTATAATTTTCTTTCCATTTAAACGATTATAAATCTCTGTCACTTCTTCTATCATTCTCAAAATATTTTTTTCAACAGATATTCATATTTCGAAATACGGTAAAAATTTCTATCTTCCTTCTTTTAATCGATATCTATCCTTTCCGCTCGAAAATTTGTATCTAAATAACGATGGAACGAAAATTTCTCGGTATTGGACGTTCTCTAGCCGCGATGTATACATGTATATTTCGTAAAATCGATAGGAAATCATCGGATATTTCACGGTTTCGTTTATTTACGTGGAAGGAGGGACACGCGACGCGTCGGGAAATTAACGAAGCGACGTGGCCGTCCACGGAAAAATTAACAACCTTGTCGAGATTCGCATTGTCCGACCGCGGGCCCGCGGAAACGGAACAATTAATGCCGGCTGGAAATTATAATTGACGCCGGGCTCCCTGCGTCCCGGAACTTTTTAATTAGGCATCGCGCCGCTTAACGTTCGACGACCGGATGAAACTCGGGAAAAAACGTCCTCCACCTGTTCCCTCTCTTTCGTATCCGACCATGCGCTGTTCGTCGAATTTTTCCAACGATCAAACTGTTTCCTCAACTCTTTCTAATCGCTCGTTAGCGATCGACTTCCAATTTTTCCATTTTTCTCGATCCAAGATAGATATCCCGTGATTATTTTATTTTTTTGTTGTTATTGTTGCTTTTTTTCCTTTAAACTCGGGCAAAACTTTTGTAAGAATTTGTATTTTATTTGTTAATTTCGAAAACTTCAGTCTTTGCGGTGAACGTATTTCGAAAATTTTCGAAAATTTAAAGGATTGTTGGTAAATGAAGAAAAGAATTTTTCTTGTCTTTCGAGAAATCGTTTATAGGCATATTGGTGGATCGTTCTAGGTGTGTAAAATTTAGAAGAAACGTATTTAATTACGAAATTATATTCGTTCCAAGAACAACACCTAAACGTATCCAGGAGCGTGACTTCGGCAGGTCGAAGTTACATCTCGTTCCAGTTTCGAAAAGGCAGCCTCTAGGAGCGGCGATCGCAGTTTGATAAGAGGCCGCAATCGTGGGAGTGCAACACGAGCCTTTCTCCGGCCAAGCAACACCCACCTCGACATCCTACTCCCGATATCCTTCCCTTAAAATCATTCGAACCTGTGCTGGAACAAACATCCCTTCTCTCATTCCCTCCTCCAAATTACAAATTCTTCAATTCTTATCCACTCTTTCTTCTACACTAAATTTCTATACGAAAACTTCGTTTCCCTCCAACATATCTTTTACCTATTTCTAATCAATCCCACGAGGATATCGTATCTGAATCGATAAATCCAACGCTATGAATCCTCAACAGGTTCCTCAAGAGCCAATGATTCGAGAAGTTGGATCCCTCGTCTTGGAAACTTGGGACAAAGAGTTGGTTGTTTCGAGCGAGGGCCCGAGGTGTCGCCTTCGACCCAACCGTTCGTAGATTCCTTCGTTCTCCATTATGGCGAATACAGAGAGAGAGAGAGAGAGAGAGGGAAGGAGGGAGACAGAATGCAGGAGAGATCGGCGAGCGCAGATATATCTATATATATACCGATCCACGAGAGCAGATATCCGGACGAGCTTCTCAATTAGGGATCGGAAGTGGCTCCGGGCTAACTGGCGCGCTCTTTGTGCTCCTCCTCCTCCGCCTGGGTCCTCCGCTTCCGGCCCAGCTATTCGGCGTATCGCGTGTCACCGACCACGCGCGCGTAGTCTCGAGCTCCTCCTCGGGAAAATTGGCCCCCCTCAGCTGAAATAAAGGGAGGTTCGAGGCTTGTTAAGACTTGACCCGTGATATTTCACGAGCCAGACGACACAACGGGATCCCCTTGCTCCTGCGTGGAACGAAGAAGAAGGTCCACGCACCCTTCGATCCATATCGGAGAGAATAAGAGGGCGTTGGGTGTGGCGAACTTTGGAAAGGTGACGATGGAATTGTTCAGTTGGGGGTTTGGTTTCGTGTCGAGTGACGGGATCTTGGGGCGTGATAATGGTTAACGATTTCGTCGTTCGTTCCTCGTGGAGATGGAGATTAGTCGCGTTTCAAGGAGATGTTTGTTAACGTTTGAAATTGAATTTATAGTTTCGAAATATAATTGTCTGTAATTTAATCGATTAATTTAATCAAAAGGTTTTTTGGAAATAATTCTGTATATGTAAAAGTTGTCTCTAAAATTTTCTACGCTATCAGTCTCTCCTGTATTTAAAATCCTTGGACAGGTTCAATCGTATTCATCTATTGTTCTTCCTAAGTCCTCCAATTTCCCAATTAACAGTCGATCAATCGCGCTAACGAAGTTCAACCGATCGTCCAACGATTTAATTAAACCTTATAGAAAAACCACTTTCGTCTCCCAAGGTAGAAGTTAACCAATTTCTTTCCTCGTGTATAACTCTTGTATTCCACGCTCGTTCGTTCGAGCTCGGCCAAGTCGTTCCGACTCAAAGAACCAATTATTGGCCCAATTTCCAAGACCCTTTCCCGGGCTACGTTCCCACCTTTTTTCCGTCCACGCACGCGTTTAACGAACAAGCACGAATTTTTTCGATGGCGCGGCCATCGTTTCGAGAATTGCAGACGTTCGCGTATGACGTGACGGGGGGACGACTTTTCCTTATCCTTGCCAACCCTTCCCACTTCTCACATCCTAAGCGCCATGTCAAAATTTCCTTCTGTCCCGTGTCCAGATATCGCCCTGACTCTGTCCGCTTAGGTCTGTCCCCAGTTTACGATAACGAGCTGTCTTCGAGCTGAACTCTCGTAATTGAGAATCGACACCGTCCAACTGGCCAAGAGAATGGTTGTCAGCTGGAGGATGAACGTAACGATCGCCTTCGTGGATGTCGAGTGTATGGAAGAAGAGCAAGAATTTAAATTGAATATTTAAGATGATTTTCTTTTTTTAAATCCGTTGTTTGAAATATATAATACGAATAAAGTGTCAGTTTTTCTTGAGTAAATATTGTTTATCTTAATTAAAAATAAATACACAAGTTTGTATATGTAAATATTAATGAAATTAGGGATTGTCTTATAGTCTTTTTTTAAATGATGAAGAATTATTTGATGAGTTATGAACGAGAACGAGGTAAAGTGTATATTTTGTCAAATTGTTTGTTAATATATTCATGGGATACTTTTGGAGGATTGATTCTCCGAAATAAATTGGTATAAAAGTTTATCAAGTTATAAGCAATTTAAATTTGCATTCGAAAACAAGACAGAGAATGCTAAACTTAAATTATTTCCAACTAATCTTCAACTAACCACCATTTTCGTAGATAATCAATTTACTCTAATTTATTTTAATTTCTAGAATCGAAAAACAATAAACATATCATACCTCCCTCTACGATCTCCCTCTCTCATCTAACTCACACAACACCCCTAAACAATTCTCTTCAACTTCCTATCCCAACCTCGAACAATCCCAACCTCGAAACCAAAGACGAGAAGAGGAGACACCCCCGCGGATCTGGCTGCTAGATTTATTAGCCGACTGTGTTAACCCTTGATGCCCGTCTAAAAAGCGAGTAGAAGCGGATGAGGGGGAGGGGGGAAGACGTCACGCGCGATACACACTGGGTGTAATTTCACGGGCTGCACACCTCCAGCCACCGTTAACGAGAGCGAGACTCTCCACGACAAGAAGAGGAGGAGGAGGAGTTCCTCCACCTTT